GCCCGCTCTACCAGTTACTATGTGTATGACCAAATCACCTCAGTTGGCCTCAGTTTCCTCACCTATGAAATGGAGATAATAATGGTACCTGTCTCACAGTGTTCCTGTGAGAATTAAATTAATACACATAGGAGTGCTTAGAACATGCCTGGCGCAGAGCAAACAGTATTTGCTCAATGTTATTACTCAATGTTATTACCCAAGGAGGGCTTCAACATGCCAAAGAAAGAGTTAATCACATCACTTAAAGGAAAATGTAAAGCAAAACTACACATAGATATTCTAGAAAAATATGAGTCCTGAAAAAAAAAATTAAGCTGCTAGTTCCTTTACAGAGTTTAAGGCAAAAGTAGACTTCAGCGATTAAAGTAATGGCCATACAGGTAGCATGAACCCATGAATTAAACACTTAGCAGCCTCCTACAGAAGAAAGAGCCTCAGTAAATCTCCTAAATTTTCACCTGCAACCTTGAAGAAGTCTAGAGTACATAGATATACTCCCTCCTGGGCTTTTCTTTCCAAGGGCTGAGCTTGTTCTCTAAAAGGTTACTGCAGCCACCTCCTCCCTTCCCCCATCTCCAAGTTGTTGTTAGGACCAGGTTTCCCAAAAATTCTTCCTAGAGAGCTGTCTCATTTCTTCTTAACTATGTACTACCAATAGACAAACAGATAGAAAACACACTTTTTAAGAAAGGAAAAAAAGAAAACATACTCCCCCAACATCAGAACTCAGTCACTAACAGCCTATGTACACCATCTACCATGTTTATCATATATGCCCTTGCCATGATGGGATGTCAATGTAAGCCAAGAGAAATTACAACTGCAACAGGAGAATCTTAAAATGTTCACCAGTCATCAGAGGGAACACCCTGTCTCAAATCAATGAGGCCACAAACAGAAACTGGCACGGATGCTCTGTCCTCTAAAGCAGAGTTCTTTCCCAGGGCTGCCAGGGCCTCAGAGGGCCCGGGGCATGACGATCACGTTTGTGGCTCCTGTGTGTCACTGAATTCAGTGGTTACAAGGGTTAACATTTACTGACTGCTATGCACCAGCTACAGATGTAGGCACTCTATGTGTATTAATCCACTCGACCCAAACAACAAGAACTGGGACAGATGTTATTATCCTCCACTTCACAAAGGAGGAAAATGAAGCCTTGAAAGGTTGAGTAACTTGCTCAAAGATACACAATGAGAAAGTAGCAGAGCCAGGACACAAATCCAAGTGGTAGACTCTAGAGGCTACAATCCTAATTAACCAGTCCCCTAAACTTCCTCTAGAAATTTCTGACATAATTTTCCCAAGGGTACACTGAAAGAAAGTGTTCATGGGCAGGCATCAGAACAGCTCCAAGGAGACAATTTGGGTCTCATTGCCTTTAACCTACACCTGAAAGTTTACTTCTGGGGCTCTCACCAGTTGGATGCACTCCTATATAGCTTTTTGATATAGCCCTCTTGTTGCTCTTGCACTAAAGTTGTAGTCCCTTACATCCCTTTATATGGGAGCATATAAATCTCTGGTCCACGGGCTTTTTTAAACAGGGAGAGACAGATTTTCTTTATTAATCACTCTCTTTCTCACTTCCCTAGGACAAAAGCATATAAACTGAAAGTCCAGAAAAAGAACAAATAATGGCTGGCATAAGGGGAAAGGGAACAAAATGAAAAGCAGAAAAAAGAATAGTATGTTAAAAAGAAACTATTTAGTCATCAGGGAAATGCAAAGTAAAACCAAAATGAAGATAACATTTCGTATCTACTTGAATGGGTAAAACGCAGAAACTACCCAATGGTCTATCAATTGAAGAATAAATAACTTGTGGTATAGCCATACAATGAAATATTATTTGGCAGTAAAAAGGAATGAAGTACTGACACATGCTACAACATTGGTGAACCTTGGAAACATTATGCTAAGTGAAAAAGGGCAGTCGCAAAAGTACACATATTATATGATTCCATTTATATGAAACATACAGAATAGGCAGATATATAGATAACAGAAAATAGATTAGTGTTTGCCCAAGACTGGGGATTGAGGAATAATGGGAAATAATTCTTTGGGGGCACAAGGATTTCTTTTTGGAATTAATGGTGATGGTTGCACAACTCAGTCAACATATTAAAAGTCATTGAAGTGTATACTTTATATGGGTCAACTGCACAGTACGTGGATATTTCAATAAAGCTGTTATATTGTGGTAAAATAAGTAAATTATAAAGTAAAACCACCAGTCTATCCCAAGAGAGTCCATGTCTTTTTGAGCGACCAATAATTGCAGAAGTGGCAGAAACTCAAAATTATTAAAGCAAGAAAAAAAATCAGAAAAAAATGGGCTTATGAAAAGGAGAGAAGAAAATTTCTATTTAATTAAATTTCAAGATATTGGGTGTGAAGTCATATTATATCAAATGCACAGATGTTACATGATGGATTGCATAACTCTAAATCCAGACCTTCTCTTCACCTGAAATCTAGCAGTTCCAAAAATAAAGGCTCCAGAGAAGAGGTGATATAACATCAGCTTCTGCATTTTTTTTTAACTTTCTGAAGACTGAATTAAAAAGTGTTCAAATATAAGGACTCTCTGGTATATTTCACCCCAACTTCACAAAATAAGGATATTTGATTAGCATCTAAACTGTACACAGTTTCCTAAATTGAATTTAGGAATCTGGCTCAAATTTAACTAGAAAAAGTAAAGCCTTCATGTTCTGGAGCTAAGCATAAGGCACTGACAGCCAGACTGGTGTTGGCAGATTTTGGCAGAAGACTTTCAGAGTAAAGTGAAGGGTTCACTATGCTATCCCATTATGTATCTTCTTATGATAACACTGTAGCAGAAATCAATGCAGTCTCTGACTAAAGTGAATTCTGAGTCTCCTATTGTGTGGCAAAATGTCAAAAGACAATATGGAGTTTCCTGGCTATTAGCAGACAGATACAGCACTAACACATTTTTGGAAACAGAGAACAATTAGATAGCAGAGAATTTCCTTTGCATTTTTTTAGCCTTTGACTTTCAAACTACAGTATTACTAAACCTTTTACTCCCACTATGTCTTAATCAGGCATCATTTGTGTGGAAAAGCAGCTTACTGCTTTCCTTAAAAACAGGAGGCATTAACTGATCCAATGTGTTGGCAGTCCTAGAGAATCTTTTTAGACAGGAACAAATGATGCCTCTTGCTTTGTGTTCAAAGAAGCTGAGTTTAAGATTTCATGCATATGCACAAAGAAACAAAGAATCCTGCAAAGTCAGCTAGCAATCTTGGAGTTTAAAAAACAAACAACCAAAAAAACCCCCTTCACACTTTCCCCCATGGAGGTTTCAGATATTAAGCAACATGTTGAAAGATACTTTACATGACTTAAAGTGCTTTTCCATAGTCTTAACATCCTCAAATACCAAAGTTTAAGTAGTGCTCCCGTGACTCAATGTCAAGAGTACAATCTTTTCCCCCAGAAAACTGTTGAGTTCAAGAAAGCATATCAAATATTTCTAAAGTGCTGTATTGTAACTTTTCTAAGAAGCGACTGCTTCTCCTCCTCTTCATTAATTAACACACTGCATTTTTCTGGCCTGGGTTTTAGAAGTCTGGAACATTTCCCCTCCCCACCTGTTTGTATTAAGGTTGACAAATTTCCTTGACTAAAACAGCTGGTGTTGATTACTGGAGGCAAACCAATTGAATATTTCACTAATAGGTGACATGAGCTCTCGGAATGGAAACTCGTCCCTAAAGAGAACACCCCTGCAAATGTAGCCAAAGCTTGGTGTTGCATTTCAGCAGCATAACTATTTATGAAAATCTGGCTTTCAAAAAATAACATTTTTGATTAGGAGACTTCATTCAGAAAATGCATCTGTCATTTTTCTCCCCTTCTTCCTCCCACTGAATGCCACAGCCTCAGCCGAGGAACCCCTCTAGGGAGGGAGAGCCCACTTCTCGGGCACATAAACACAAGTAGCAACCCTGGACTCAAGGAGTCTAGTCTGTTAAAACTCGTGGTTTATGGGCTTATGCTGACAAACCTAGGGATGGCTTTTTTTTTTTTTTTTTTTTTTTTGCGGGGGGTGGGAGGATGTTACCTACCACGACGGAATAGTGCTCTATGTCAGGCACAAGTGTTTTCGAGTTTGGGGGCAGTAATGTAATTCCACTCCTGGCACCTGCCAGCATTAAGAAAAGCTTATTCTTTCTAGATTGAAATCACCTCATTCCTACCAGAAAGAAAACCTTCAGCATGTTTAACCTCCCAATTTGGCAAAGGATAATGCAATACTGGAAAAGTAGTCACAACTTTATGGCCACTATGCTCTTCGTGGAGGGGACCCGTTGAGGACTGTTATTATTTACCATCATGCCCGCCTGTCAGTGTCTCTGGATGACAGCCTAGCAGAGCACAGTACTTACAGCATTATTCATGACGTGCCTAAAAACCCAGCAGGGGGACTCAATCTCCCAAGAAGAGATGAAACCTGACTTGAACAAGTTCACAGCGGGGAGCTGCCAGCAAGTAACCCTACCCACCTCCTGATACGCAAACGCCTGCAACAGGGGTATACCTGATGCACAGACCCAAGTGCAGAGCTGAGTTATCAGATCTACCGGTTCTAAACAGGTGCGGGGCCGGTCACTACCCAAGAACAGTATCTGAGCCCTGCCCTCCAAACCCCACCTTCCAGATCCTCCTCAGAAAAGTTAGCCCACCACCGGGAACCCTCGTCCAGGCGGCGCTATGCCAAGCTCTCCGGTACCCTTCCTCCCTCCCCGACACGGTTCACCCTCTCCTCTTTGTGAACCGCCCAAAGTGATGCGGTGCAAAACTTAACAGGTCCAGGGAACCGACACGCGACTTCCACGCTGCACGGACTTCCCAGAAAGGAGCTGGCAGGCAGGCAGGCGCTGGATCCTTCTAGGCACTTCTGTCCCTTCTCGGACTCCCCTCCCCGGCGCCCGCACAGCCCCCCCCCAGGGGCCACTCACCTGCGTGGGGCATGGTGATGGTCTCGTTGTTGTTGGAGCCCACGTTGAAGATGACCACGGCGGAGGCGTTCTGCAGGAACGCGTTCCGGATCTTATCCCTGTACGTGCAGTTGCCCTTGGGGATGAGGGCTATCCAGTTCTTGCCGTGGGTCGGGGCGGCGAACTTGGTGTTGGGGTCGCAGGCCAGGCGGTCGTGGGCCGAGCTGGCCATGACCACCTCCCCGCGGGCGTCCTGCTTGGGCGAGTGCTCCCCGTAGCGCCCGCACTCCGTCTTCTCCGTGCGCAGCTCGGCGCCGCCGCCCGCTCCCCCGGCCGCGGGGTCCGGCGCGGGCTCGGCGTAGGTGATGTTCACGAAGGCGGTGTACCATTCCTCCTTCTCGGCCACGGTGAAGTCCAGGCAGAGCAGATGCACGAAACAAAAGGAAAGCAGCCATGTTGAGAGAGCCAGGCTGCGGCACGCTCGGATGAGAGACATTGCCATCTTTATCCGCCGGGGCCCCCTCCCCGCCCCCCGCGCGCTCCTCCCGCCCCGTCCCCCCTCCCCAGGCCCGGCCAGCCCCGGGCCGGCCGCGTCTCCTCCTGCTGCCGCCGCTCACTCGCGGGCCCGGGGGGCCGCGGCCGGGACGCGCAGCCGCCGAGGGGACCGGATTCCGGGCGAGTGGATGGCGCCGGCCCCTTCCCCTCTCAGCCCGAGCGCCGCTGTTGCATTTCGCCTCTCGGGCGCCCGGGGGGCGCGGGAGGAGGGGGCCCGCGGAGGAGTCCGGCTGCCGAGCGTCCTGCTCCTGCGCCTGGCTTCTCCTCCTCTCATAGAGGTGGCAGGGGGCCCGGGAGCTTGCGGGGTGGCGGCTCTGCGCCCCAGCCCCGGCGGGGGCGGGCGCGGTTGCTCGCGGTCTGGGGCGCTGCCGTGCGGGTGTCCCGGCCGCCGCCGCCGAGCGCTGGCGCGAGCGGTCCGGCCGCGGCCGCTGCTGCTGCGCGCCGGTTCCCTCGGGCTGTGGCGCTGCGCTCCTGGTCGCGCCGGGTGGCTGCGCCGGGGCACACACTTGCCGGGGAGGGGCGGGCTGGGGGAGTGGGGGAGAGCGGGCAGAGAGGAGTGCGCGGTCCGTGTCCGTGTGTGCGTGTGTCTGTATATGTTTGTGTGTGTGTTCTGTGTGCGTGCAAGGAGGAGCTTAGTGTGATGTCAAAGCTTCTGGGCTTCGCCTGCCACGCTCGCTGCGGGCTCTGTTTGTGGGCAGCAGCGACCCCTGCCGGGTCTCAAATTCAACCTCAATCTGTAACTTGGTCCAGGTCGGGGCAACAGGGGAACCCGTTGACCTATGAGTTCAGAAATAACTTTCTGAGCCTTAAATATGCCGAAATGTATGTCCCTCTCGTAAACAACCCTCCCAGTTTCTGGAAGAACTGCAGTGAGCTCCCTAATCACCTGTCCTAGAGGCAAAATGTAGGGTTGGTCGGTATCGAGGTCCTTCCAACACCGCTTCTGGAATATCTAGGGAAGTGGCTATCAAACCTGTAGTTTTACAACTCAGATTGGGCCCTGCCGCAGACTTTCTGATTCAGTAGCTCTGGGACAAAGCCCCAGAATATGTGTTTCTAACAAGTTCCCTGGTGATGCTGATGCTGTTCCCCTAGTAACCACTCTATTTGGATTGGTATAAGAATTAGCTTCTTGCCTTTCATCTGGAAGGAAACATGAGATTTGTTTTCTTATAGAAGAGGCCTCTTCTAACTCGAAAAGAAATTGGGTGAGATATTTCTCTACTGTGTTTATTCTGGTTGTCATGACTGGAACAGAGGACTCTCAGCGTCAACAGGCAAGGGAGGTTTGTTTGGGTTACTGTTTATGGTGTGCTCTCCAGTTGTGCATGGAGATTACAGCTAGTCAGCAGAGAGTACAGTCCCCCTAGTGTAGTGTTTTTAAAATTGTGACACAGCACAATTTCTTGCCAATTAGATATTTGGTGGTGGTTATCCCTTCTCATCAATGGTTTTCTTGGCTTGAGATAGCTGCCATATAAAGTCTCTAAAAATATTTGTGTGATGGTTTTCAGTCACTCACATTGTACTTCCCACCTGACACTCAGAGAACCCAGGACCCAATTCATGATTAAAAGAAAAAATACACACACACACACAAAAGTCCTCCTTTTCCCCAGGACTTTAATATGTTTACAGCTTTCTGTTAGTGAATGACCACAGGCACAACTTCTGTTTTTCCAGCAGCAGTACGAACAGCTGGTGGTTGTTAGGGGAGAGCAGAGAGTCCCAGCTGTGCCCAAATTAGAAGCAGGCACAAGAATAACGACTTAAAGAATTTGTCTCTGTGGTATTTGATGTGCTGGATTTGTATGTGTTCTTACCTCATTCATTTTAGAAAATAGGCTTCGAGGCCATTGGGACAGTGCTTTTTATAGTGCCTAATGCCAAGGAGACAAAAGTGGAGACTACCTGGCTGCTGGTTGCTGAACCACGTGAGATCTGAGCGAGGAGTCCATTGCTAGAAACTCCTCGCTAGGTACTGAATAGATGCATTTAGCAAACCATAGTGGTTCCCCAAACCTCTCTATCTCTTAGCAGTTTTTGATTCCAGCAGGAAGATTTGGAGAATCTGTACTATTAAGAATGTGTGCATTTTTTTCCTTTAGAAAAGTTAGGGGCTGAAAAAATGGCAGGGTCAAGGAGGAAGCATCATGGCTGGGAGATTGCTTAATTACAGGGCCATTGGGCAAATAAGCAAAATACTGAGTAAAATGGGAGCCAGGTTCCCTACTATTGGAGAAGGAATTTACAAATACAGAAAGAAAGCTAGCTATAAACAACCCTGAGGCCTTAGATTGGAATAACAATGAGTATAAATGACTTTTATTTTATTTTATTTTCTTCAGCATATTATGGGGGTACAAATGTTAAGGTTACGTATATTGCCCCTGTCCCCTCTCCCCCCTACAGTCAGAGCTTCAAGCGTGTCCATCCCCCAGTTGGTGTGCATCACAGTTATTATGTATGTATATACCCATCCCCTCCCCCCCACCTGCCTGACACCCAATAAATGTTATTTCTATATGTCCACTTAGGTGTTGATGAGTTAATACCAATTTCCTGGTGATATAAATGACTTTTTAAAAACAATATAGATGTATGTATATGTGTATGTGCACATATATATACCATAGCTCCATTCAGAGGCTAGAAGCAAAGGACACATCAAGTGGCCTAAAGATCTTGGTTCCTAAATACCATCTTCCACTAAAGGGCACGAGGGCTGATTTTATGGCTGGGGCTGGGAATTTACAGAGAGCCTGTAACCTCTTGTAGGAAGGTGCTCGAAGCATAATGGGAATATGTCAAAAGGACACAGGAGCCGGCAGGAAAGGGTTCCCACTGGCCAAATCTAGGACAATTAGAGCATCAAAATAAATGATAGTCATCAATTACAACCTATTGAATAAAACATGAATACATGCTAATATAAAAAAAGATAGAATAGATAAATGGGGAAGGAAGAACAGCTCTTTCTTAGGGTAGAAATGCCTACTATTAAGGATTAGTGAAAACAGAAAGTCACCACTTGGCTAGAGTGTTGGTTGATTTAGGCAGGAGTCATCAGTGAACACTGAAGTTGGAGGGTGGGTGTTTGATATGAATAACGATGTGTTAGCCTATCCTTGAAGTATCTTCTGAAAAATTCTTACTGATCACAAGGGATGATTGGTGAATTTATTGAAGAGAAGCCTGGAAGACACTAAGTTGACCAGGTGATCATGATGAATATCACCAGTTGTAGAAAAGTCATGTCATGTCCCCCACCCCCATGAGATGCACTGAGAAGAGCACAGCACCTTTTATGTGATGTTTCTGCCAACAATGCATGGCCTGGTACTGGACATAGGGAAACATTGGAACCCAGGGTGAGAAGAACCTTATAAAATGTTTATACTCTTTAAAATTCTTAAGTTTAATAAGGGACAAAAAAAAAAAAAAGAACTTAACTGATACAAATTGAAGAGACTTAAAGCATGGCAACTAAATACAACAACTATCCCAGGTTGGCTTCTGGACCAGAAAGGAAAAATAAACAGTTGGAAAACATTGAGTGAAATCTGTGGATCAGTTAGCATATTTTTGTCAATGGTGATTTCCTGCTTTGGATGTTTGTATTATAGTTTTGTAGAAGAATGTCCTTGTGTGGAGGATATGCACACTCAAGTGTTTAGCAGCGATGAGACATTGTGTCTGCAACTTGCTCTTAAATGGCTCAGGAAAAAAAAATAGTGATTATCTATAAAATCTTGGTTTCCACCAGATACACTTTCAGAGAGCTCAAAACCAACTCGTGATTTAAAAAAATAAAAGTCAAAAGGCCTTTTTGAGGGGACATTAATATGTGTCTAGCTTTGTGTTAATGACTCTCCTCCAGCGCTGCTACTCTTTTTTTTCCAGTGGCACCTCTCTAGCCACTGAGCTGGTGGCAGTCTGGGGAGAACAATGAACCCTTGTTCACTGTAAATAAAATGTCTCTGTATTTCATTTCTTCATTTATCAATATTTATTGAGCACCTAAAATGCATTAGTCTTCCAGGCACTGTGTTTACAATTGAAAACAAAAACAGATAAGGTTCTTGCTCTGATGGAGTTTACATTTTGGAGTTGTGCAAAACAGATTTTATTTTTGTAAGGTTTAGATTATGTCCAGTAGTAACAGTAAAAGTTATGAAGAAAAAAAGTATGGGAAGGTGACCTGTTTTACATGAGATACTATCTTCTGTCAGGGTCAGCTGCTCTGTGAGGGCTTTTGAACAGAATCTTGAAAGTGCGAGATCCATGTGGATGTCTGGGGGACTGATTGTGCTAGGAAGAGGGAACCATAAGTACAAGCGTTGTATGTGATGTGCTGAAGAACAGCAAAGAAACCATTAAGGACAGCTGAGTGAGACAAACAGAGACTGAAGGAGATGAGATCGGAGACCTGGCGAGGAAATGGCATGTGGCCTTGCAGTCTAAGGCGAGGACACTCTGGACGTTATCCTGAATGAGAGGAGAAACCTTTGGAGATTTTTCAACAGGGAGACATACATGAGCTGATGTGTTTTAAAAGGTTTGTTCTGACTGTATTGAAGCATATATAGAAGAAAGGAGAACAACAGGGAGCTAGAACAATAGGAGCCTTCCATAGTTCAGGAAACAGAGAATAGTGACTTGTGCCAGAAAGGTGGCAATGAATGTGATGAAATCCTCACTAATATATTGTATCCTTAATATATTTTGAAGGTGGAACACATAGTATTTTCTGATGCATTTGACATGGAGTGTGAAAGAAAGAGAGGGGTGTACAAGGACACCTATTCAGTGAAAGGGCCATATAAGCTAGTGGCCCCCAGATGCCAAAGGAGCTGAGAAACGAAAGAATGAGGCAGATAAGTCCTGTTTGTCAGTGAAGGGTGATTTATTTGGGGAACTGTGTACAGAAGCATGGTCTTGGGAAGCCACGGGCAGGTAGATCTCTGCATCACAGCCCTCCAGACAGAAGGCATACATCTTGGGGAAAAAGTATACATGCCCTGGAAGGAATGCCTAGGTGGCTCAGAGACTGCTATGGGCATCCCCGCCTATGACGTATGCAACAGTATCAAGGGATGTTTTGGAGGAAAGGTGAAACTTATAGTAAATAAATGTGTCTACACAAAGAGTGATACATCAACTAGACATCTTGGAGGCATTCCAGGACTCAGGGTTACTCAGGAGTCACATGGTGAACTAGCATCTAAAATAGAGTCACTCTTGTTGCCACACTACACTTTGGAGCCTAAGCATCTGGCTAAATGGAGAAGATTGCAGGAGGAGCTGTTTGGGATAGGCATCCAGAGTTTAGAGAGGTTTTATTCAAGGTGCCTAGAGAGATCCAAAATGGCAATT